CAATCTCTCTCTCCCTGCTAGCGTGCTCACCTCCCCCCAAATTTTGGTGTCATCAGCGAATTTAAACAGGTTGCTCTCCACCCCAACATCAAGATCGCTGATGAAGACATTGAACAGCGCAGGGCCCAGGACCGAGCCCTGAGGGACTCCACTACCCACCTCCCCCCAAGTCGAATATGATCCATCCACCACCACCCTCTGAGTGCGACCCTTCAGCCAATCTGCAATCCATCTGACCGTGTAGGCATCTATGCCACAGTCGCCTAGTTTATTAATTAGGATGGGGTGAGAGACGGTGTCAAAGGCCTTGCTGAAGTCCAGAAAGACTACATCCACCGCGACACCTGCATCCATGGCCTTTGTGACCTGATCATAAAAGGCAATCAGGTTGGTCTGACATGATCTCCCCCTAATAAATCCATGCTGATTGCCCCTGAGCATCATCTCGGATGCCGGCCCATCACAAATGTGCTCCTTGATGATCTTCTCAAAGAGCTTCCCCAGGATTGAGGTAAGACTGACGGGCCTATAATTGCCCGGGTCCTCCCTTTTCCCTTTTTTGAAGATGGGGACCACATTAGCTACCTTCCAATCGTCTGGCACCTGGCCCAAGCACCACGATCGCTCGTAGAGCCGTGCCAGGGGCCCTGCAATAACCCCAGCCAGCTCCCTCAGCACCCTGGGGTGGAGAGCATCCGGACCCGCTGACTTGAACGCGTCCAGCCCCTCCAGAAGCTCTCTAACCCGGTCCTCCCCAACCTGAGGTCTGAAGGCGATCCCCTCGCGTCCGGCTTCTATCACAGCAGGGAAGTCCCGGTCCCTGCACAAGAAAACGGAGGTGAAGAATTGGTTAAAGAGGTCCGCTTTATCCTCTGACGCAACCACCAGATTGCCCCGCATATCCTGCAGGGGCCCCACATTACCCGGCGCCTTCTTCATCCTCCCAATATATTTGAAAAAGGGAGGATTTCATTTTGTTTTGATGAGCAGATTCATCCTTAAAGGGACTGACCCAAATTGATTAACTCAGGAACCTGGGAGGCATTGATTTCATTTGTTTTGATAATCTATTTAATTATTTGATTGGATCCTTAGAGGACTGAGCTGAGTCGATTGATCCAGGAGCTGGGGATGCATTAAGTTCATTTTGATTATCCACTTGATTATCTGATTGGGTCCTTAAGGGACTGGCCCAGATGGTTTAGCCCAGGAACCTGGGAGGAATTGATTTAAGATCATTTGCCTTGTGGACTTTGCCTTGTGGGTCTGGATCTTGTATTGCCCCAATGCTGCTGGCAGCTAAGCACTGGCTGACCAAATAAATGTTTAGGAGTTTACATCCATTCACTGGGGCCCACTGAGGCCATTTAAAAATCAATCACTCCTCGATTCATAGGTCCATCAACTAAAATCAGAGTGACATGTGTCATCCAGAAAGTGGCAAGGGTGGGGTGTGAGGTGAGGCAGACCCCCACAAAGAAAACCCTTTGAGAGAACCACCCAGGATCCCCGCCAGCTCACACATCTAGTTCCCAATAGTTAAAAGAAGATCAAGACGTGGCAGGAAAGAAAAGAACATTGGAGATTGGGGGTGGCGGTATTGTCCGGTGCCCCGATGGCTTACTCCAGTAAGACTTCAGGCAGGTGTGAGCCATGGCCATGCAACATCTACCTCTGACATGGGGAAAAGAAGAAAACACCTTTCTCTGGAAGCTTCCATACTGCAAAGAAAAAAACAGGTGCCAGTGGACGAGAGATGGGAGGATGCTTCTGGTTAAAAAAAACACAATTGTGAAAAAGTGAATCCTCTTGCAGGTATTCTGATGTAGGAAATAAATGGCATTTTAAAATGGCCCTTTTCCTCTATGTGCACCCAAACATTGACTCAGTAATATAAGTGAAGTGTAAGAATTTAAGTTATTGATACAGTGTGCAGAAGGGAAAAATAGGTGCATGCCTTTCAACACTACTTAATTTCACTCACCTGGGCAGGTGTCCTCAGAAGCTTAAAATGATGCTATTAGACAGAGTAAAGTGAAGATGGTTTGCTGTGCAGCTCTCCCCATTACTGGTGCTGGATTCTGCAATAGCAGCTCCACTGCACTTCTCAGTCCCTTCTCTCTTTGCTTAGTGTTTCAGTGCTGTGTGGGACTTTTATAGCTGGTAAACATTCAGCCCAAATCTGCACCTCCAACATTTTGGCGCCTCTTTCCCATTCTTTACATTCCAGTAGTGTCCACTGAGATGTTATGGTTGCAGATTTCACAACTCTAGCTCCTTAAATGGTCTGGGATGATATGTCCAAATGTTAGATCCATAGCTCTTGATTCTGCTACATGACAAAAGCAGAATCATCATGGAACCAATCTGAATTCTTCTTTCCAAAGTACCTCTCAGAATATAGCTCTTGAACTGTTTTGAGGGCAGGCTTATATCCAAATGAATCTGCACTGTTCTAGCCTGGACTGACTGATGGTACAAGAAAACGTTTGCCCAAAGAGCTTACCATTTAACATTTAAACAGACAAAACAGAAGAGTAGGAGAAAGGGCACATTTTCAGTTTTGTTGTATGTGAAGACACTGACCTCCTACAGTTAGCACTATCATTTTTTTCCCCATGGAAAAGTGGGAGTTTTTCACAGAATCATAGAACCAGAAGGGACCTATAAGATCAAGCCTGGTCCTCTGCCATGGGCAGGAAGTTACTGGGCTCAGATGAGCTCAACAATGTGCCTATCCAGCCTCATCTTGAACACCTCCAAGGAGGGTGATTACACCACTTCTGCCAGCAGTATGTTCCAGTTTCTGGTGACCCTTACAGAGAAAAAGTTCTTTCTTATATCTAGCCTGAATTTACCCTCTATTAGCTTATACCCATTGGTCCTTGCCTTCCCTTGGGGTGCCTGCCTGAAGAATTGCTCCCCTAGATCCTAGTGTTCACCTCTGACGTACCTGTAGGTGGCTATCGAGTCCCCTCTTAGCCTTCTCTTTCTCAGGCTGAACAGGCGCAGGTCCCAGAGTCTCTCCTTGTAGGGCCTATCCTCCATGCCCTTCGCCATATGGGTGGCCCTTCTCAAGCTTATCCATGTCCTTCTTGAAGTGTGGTGCCCATAACTGGACACAGTACTCCAGCTGAGTCCTCACCAGTACCAAACAGAGAGGGAGGAGCACCTCCATGGATCTACTGGACACACATCAGCTAATGAATACCAGAGTCCTATTTGCCTTCCTGGCACCCTCATCACACTGTTGGCTGATATTCATCTTTTGGTCCATCGTGACCCCCAGGTCTTGTTTAGATGCTGTGCCAGCCAGTGGACCACCACCCATTGTGTAGTTGTGGTGAGGGTTCTTCCTACCCAGGTGAAGGACCTTGCACTTATCCCTGTTAAACTTCATCTGATTACTTTCCACCCATGATTCCAGTCTGTCAAGGTTGTCCTGGATCCTGGCCCTATCTTCCAATGTGCCCACGTTTCCCCACAGATTGATATCATCTGTGAACTTAATCACTGAGCTCTCCACCACCTCATCCAAATCATTAATTAATATATTGAGGAGCATGGATCCAAGCACCGATCCCTGGGGGACACCACTGGAGATGGCCCTCCCTTTTGTTGAAAATGGGATGTTATAGAGAGAGAGAGAGAAAAATGATCACATCAACAAATTTCATTTTAATGAAAATGTAGGAGGTTGTGTTTTTTCCTGCTACTATAGTAGAAAACCAGACCCTGTTGCACTGAAGACGCTGTGGGGAAGTGGCTAAGGCAGTTCTCGGGAGAGGGTGTAAGATTTTTGAGACACGGCTGACACTTCTCCAACTTTGGAATGGGAGGCACAAGCCCTACAC